CTCAACAAAAATGAACTGTCCCGATGACCTGACTGAACCTTGTTGGAAACGTTTTTGTTTAGGAAATATTTACTTAGTTTGAGAGTTTGCCACACTAAATCCTGTTTATAAAACAGACAAGTTCATGCTCTGATATAAAATTATTTTGCTGTTGTTACACAAGATTTCACATATTTCATTAAAAGTATGTTTACAGGCACGTGGATTTTTGCAGCTCAAGACGAAACTGTGCAAACTCAAGTTTCAAGTTTAAAAAAGAGGGAAAATGTGGAGTTGGATAGAAGTCATTTAACCTGTAGTTTTAATTTCTGCTTGAACGTGCAGGTATTAGAGGACAAGGACATAAGGTATAAACAGTGCTGATGTTTCTAACGATCCCTCATTTCTTTACCGGTACATTTTGTTTCCATCAGCCAGACAGACTTGTAATTTCAAAGGTTCTCCTTTGGAAAAATGCAAAAAAAATGAAGGATGGTTCAACATGTTTGCAAAATAATGTAAACTAGAGAAATTGCATTTCCTGCAAAAATGTGGTGTGAATGCCTATTGCAGAAGAACTTGCTAAAAAACAGCGGAAATTAGCTAAAAACATGCTGAATTGTAGCTGAAATGGAAGAACAAGCCTAAATTAGCAGAAGAAAGGAGAAATCACAGAAATTTGCTGTATTACCGGTAGGTTTAAATACGCAGAAATTAACACAAAAATTAGGAAAGCAGCTAAAGAAATCTGAAATTTGCAAAAACAAACAAACAAACAAACAAAAAAGCTGAAAAGTAGCTGAAAATGCAGAAAGAAACGTAAATTACCAGAACTAAAAAAGTGTAGAATTAGCTAAAAAAAAGCTCTAATTAGCACAAAACAGCTAAATAGTAACTGAAAGAGCAGAAAAAGCTGAAACTATCAGAAATATGCAGAAAGGAGTATAAAAAGCTGAAATTTGCAGAAAGAATTTAATTATACTAAATATAGCAGAAATTACCACAAAAACTGAATTTATCAGAAAACGGCTGAAATTAGCTAAAACTTTAGTTAAAATGGTAGAACAAGCTTAAATTAGCAGATGAAAGTAGAAAGAACATGTTTGCCCATTTAGGTTGAAAGAAGCAGGAATAAGCACAAAAAGTAGAAATTATCTGAAAAAAGCTGAAATTAGCAAAAAAAAAAAAAAAAACTGCCAAAAGGTAGCTAAAAAGCAGAAAGAAGTTGAAATTACATGACAGAAGTGGGGAGAGCCCATTTTTGCTGAATTAGGCTGACAAAAGTTGAAATGAGTGCAAAAAATGTAGAATTAGCTAAAAATAGGGCTTAAATTTGCATAAAAACAGCCAGCTGAAATAGTAGAAATAGCTGAAACTTGCAGAAATAAGCTAAATGGAGCATAAAGAGCTGAAATTAGCAGAAAGAAGTTACAAGAAGTACAAAAATCTAGTTAGTAGAAATAATCTAAAAGTAGCACAAAACAGCTGAAAGTAGCTGAAAAAAGTTTAATTTGCACAAGAAAGCTGAAAAAATCTGAACCAGAACAAAATGTGAGAGGAGCAGTAAAAGATCTAAAGATTTGAAGGATGTAAAGTTAGCTCAATTCTATATGTTGTTTATTCAGGCGTTCCACAAAACACTCCGTCTGAGAGCACGAGTCCTGACCCCATCTCTCCCGTGTTTCGCACCGGCAGTGAACCCCTACTGACCCCACAACCACGGCACGCAAGACCCCTCCATCCAGGTAATATTTAGGCACGAGCCCATGTCCAGCTTTTCTCCTGTAAAATCCTTACGTCTATTTAAAGTCTCCTCTCGGTGCCGGCAGGTGGTGGTGTAACGCTGCGAGGGTCAGATGGCCAGCTGCACCCCAGAGCTCCTCCTAAACCGCTCAGGGTCTCTACTGTTTTCCCCAATGCCATTCCGCCCCCTCCCTCAGACCCAGATGAAGATCCCTCATCTTTCTACGGTGAACTGGTCATACAGGTGGACAAACTTCTCATCTCTTGTGTCTGTCAAGACAAGAGAACAGGCCCTCAGGAAGTCTGTTGAAGTCATAGTAAAAAGTTTAAGATTTATTTTTTGTTGTTGTGTTTAGGTACCACAGTCGCAGCGGAAAGGCCACGTGGACCGCCTGCGTGCAGAAGAGAAGTGGCAGAGCCGTGCACGCATCACAGAAACTTCCTTTGGGTTTTTGGAGGCCCAGAAGGTTGAAACACCGGCAGCAGGGGAAGTGGAGGACTGGCATTTTAAACGGCCCCATGTTCGTATAGACTACATTTACTTCACTGTCTATAGTGTTGAGTGTCACAAGTTTGAACCCGTTTCCAACATTTATTTTCCCATTACAAGCTTAACATGTACAAATATCCATGTATAATCTATAAAAAGTCATGTCAAGTCTGCAACAAACGACACAATGTTGCAATTACTGCTGGCAAAACAGCTCAGCTTCCAAATCAAGTCATTCTCAAAATGTCAAAGTTCATGCTCAATAATCCAGGTAAAAAAATCCAACAGAGTTTGATCAGGTCATCTGGACGGTTTGTTTTATTGTTGAGATGTTTCATCCTTCATCCAAAGGACTTCATCAGTCCGAGGAGCCACAACAAACTCAGTCCCATAAGTGGCTTACTCACATAGTGGGCCAATCAGTTTGCTGGTGATAAGATGGTTTCTGTAGTCCACCCTCTCCCCCATCGACTCCTCTGAGGCAGCCATAGCCAAAGTGGTTCAAAACATCAAAGTTCATGTTCAATAATCCAGGTAAAAAATCCTACAAAGTTCAGTCAGGTTAACTGGACAGTTTCTTTTTTTGTTGTTGAAATGTTTCGTCCTTCATCCAAAGGACTTCATCAGTCAGAGGAGCCACAACAAACTCAGTCCCTTAAGTGGCTTACTCACATAGTGGGTCACTCAGTTACCAGTGGCTGCCTCAGAGGAGTCGACAGGAGGAAAGGGCGAACTCCAGAACCCATCTTATCACCATGAAACTGGTTCGCCCACTATGTGAGTAAACCATTTATGGGACTGAGTTTGTTGTGGCTCCTCGGACTGATGAAGTCCTTTGGATGAAGAACGAAATGTTTAAACAAACAAACAAACAAACAAAAAAAGAAACCGTCCTGAGGACCTGATTGAACTTTGTTGCATTCACAAACAAAGCATAATTTTGACACTAATTAATGTCTGACATGTCTTGAAAAAGCAAAACAGTGTTTGTTTCGTGACTAAAAATTTGAAATTTTAGCGTCTGTTCTGCTAAAGTCATCAAAGTTCTTTGTTTCTAGTTTTTTGGGCTTTGTTTTATCATGGAATAAAATTAGTTTTTTCAGTTCAGACAAGTTATGATGGGTCTTTCCTACTCTTTTTAGATTCTCAGCATGGCGGTAATCCAGAATAATCTTCAATCTGTTGAGCAGAGGAAAAGACTGATCATGGCTTTAGTTTGTTTTCATCCAGTGACACAGTAAACATTTCACTGCTAACAAAGTATACATTTTAATACTTGCAAAATCTGGAGGCAAGCATCACATCGTCAAAGAAGCTGAAGAATGAATCCTGGAGTCCGATTATCCTCGACACGCTTGCAGTGTCAAGTGGTGCTCAAGCTGGTTTTAGAAACAACCATTACAGTTCTATAAATAGAAGAATTAACCCCAGGAGAGCAGTGTGTGCAAGATCAATACAAATTTTGGTGGAGAGGAAAAATAAACCAAACTTTTTGCCAGATGAAAACAGTTCAGTATAAAGCAAGCAATTACTGTACTAGATGCTTGCTAATTAAATATGGGATTTCTATTTTCCATGTGAAATAAATAAAATAATGAAAAAATAAAACAATGCTGCTAACATGTATAGAACACAACTTTTAATAGTGTGAATGTTTATGAAGCATTCACACTATTGTGATCCATTTTTCTTCTGTACATTTTTCAGAATGTTTCTTGTCGCGCAGTTTTCAAACTGTTTCAACAAATCATAAATCAAAACGTTCAGCTCGTTCAGGAGAAGGGTACGACGACTTTTGGTGCAACTTTAGCTTTTTGAAATATTTAGCCTTTTATGTCATTTTTTCCCTCATAGAAAATTAATTGAGCTCATTTTACATCCTTCACATCTTGAGATGTGTTTACAACCTTTTACTGCACCTTTCTTGTTTTGTTCTGGTTCAGCTTCTTTGTGCAAAAAAAAAAAAAAAAGAAAAAAGAAAAAAAAAATTCAGCTATTTTCAGCTAATTTCAGTTTTTTTTTTCTCCCCAGCTGTTTTATGCTCCTTTCTGATTCTTTCTGCTAACTACAATATATTTGTGCTTCTACTGACTTCTTCTGCTAATTTCAGCTTGTTATGCTCCTTTCAGCTTTTTTTTCCAACTAGTTTCAGTTTTTATGCTATTTCAGCTACTATTTAGCTGTTTTATGCAAATTTTGGCTTTTTCAGCTAATTCCACATTTTTTAATAAAAATTTTTTTTTTAGCTCATTTCAGCTCTTTCCACTTCCTTCACATAGGTTAAACTTCTTTCTGCCTTTTTGGCTAATTTTGAAATGTTTTTTGTTTGTGTGCTAATTTTAGCTTTTTTAGCTGCTATCCCAATTTTTGTGCTAATTTCTGCTTATTTAAACCTAATTCAGCGAATGTGTGTTCTTTATACTTTCATTTGCTAATTTAGGCTTGCTCTTTGATTTCAGCTACATTTCAGCTTTTTTTTTTTTTTTTTAGCTAATGTCAGCTGTTTTCAACAAGTTCTTCTGCAATAACCATTCACACTGGATTTTCGTAGGAAATGCAATTTCTTACTTAAAGCTGCTGTGCTCTTTCCATTTTGATCACAGATAGAGACAACGTCCTGTTTCCAGTTGGACCAGTTTAAGTCGCTGCTCTTGCCGGAGAACAATCGACCTTTGGAGTCCAGCGTTCTGCTCGCAGTCAAAGAGCTTTTCAGCCGTTCAGATCCCTACACGTTGGCTCTGCACATGCTCAGTGTGGACTGCCAGGTAGCTTCAGGAACTACTCCCTGTGCTGTGCAATGCTTGATGGGAATTGGATTTTTTTTTTTTTTTTATGGTGCAAACAAAACCTGCAAAAGTCAGATTTTATGAGTTCATTCTCTAACAGACTTTTTACACAGTAATTTATTATTATTTTTATTCACGTTGCTCTAATAAAACCTTGTAGAAAGTAAGAGTTCATGCCTTTGTGAAACACTGAATTAGCTTTCGATAGTTCAAATCCTGCAAATAGTTTAGTGTTTTTTTAAATCTTGATACAACTGGTTGAAGTTTATTAGAAATATATTAAAGTTATAAGGAAACTTTAATTTGGAATATCACTTTAACATCTCTAAAAGTTATGAGCTCAGGTTTGTCAACCAGCTTAATTGTTAATAAAAAAGTCCTAAAACAAACAAACAAAAAAGCTTAATGCAGTTCTTCAGTGAATAAAACCTGTGATCGATCTTTACTGTCGTTTTGCAGGTTGCACGAGTTGTCGGGGTGACTGATGAGCAGAAGAGGATTATGGGAGTAAATTCAGGACTGGAACTTGTCACTCTGCCACATGGACATCAGTTACGACAGGATTTGCTAGAGAGGTACGTGTGGCCAACAAATTTTGTATCATAAAATAAAAAATACAATTGTAACACTTTTTAAATATGTAGAGTAAATGGAACACTACGATAATTGCTTTGGATTGACCTCTGTCCCACTTTTCATTTTCTGTCCACATGCATCTTGTTCTTTAACATTTAAGGCATCACCTAATATCCCTGGGCGTGGCAGTAGACATCCTGGGCTGCACAGGGACGGTGAACCAGAGAGCGACTCTTCTACACAAAATAATCCTGCTGGCTCAGGCTCTTAAAGAACACACCCACAACTTTTACTCCTTCTCGGCTGTTATGAAGGCTCTGGAGATGCCTCAGGTAGACAGTCGTCTCTTACAGATGTCGAAACAACTTGAAGATTTTTCTTACATGCATTTTATTTTATTTTATTTCTGCTTAAACATGTTTAGATAGTGCGCCTGGAGATGACGTGGCGTGCTCTGAGGAGGAACCATACAGAGAGCGCAGTTTTATTTGAGAAGAAACTCAAACCCTTCATGAACTCATTGAATGAGGGAGATGGTGAGTAGCTGTGTTATCAGTTATTTCCAGGACAAACACATTAAAAAACAGTTGAAAAGCTGTTTGTTGTGGATAATATTTATGGATTTAATTTGTATATTAGGGATTTAAAAGTGTAGCAAATAAAATAATCACTTAGATTTATATTATTCTTCATTTTCTTCTTCTTTTGGCTGTTGCCAGAGTAAGTCATCGTCCTCCATCTACAATGTACTATTGTATGTAGTACTATGTACTGCATCCTCTGTCCTCACTCCATCTAGCTCCATGTCCTCTCTAACTGCATCCATATATCTCCTCTTTGTCTTTTTCCTGGCGGCTGCATTTCTAACATCCTTCTACCAAGATACCCACTGTCTCTCCTCTGGACTAGTGTTGTAGTATTTGAGACCGGTCTTAGTCTTGAGACCGGTCTCAAGACCACATTTTGATGGTCTCGGTCTTGTCTCGGTCTCGGCCATTGAGGACTCGGGATTTTATTTCAAGACCAGTGAAGACCACAACTGTGGAAATATCACTAAATTGCCAGAATATTGTCCAGTTTATTTGTTAACATCTTTGTTTTCATTGGATGCAAAACATACTGATTCAAATCCAAGAGATAACGTGACTAATTGCTAAATACATGTTTTTGTTACTGCTGTCATGCCCAGCCCCTTCCACTCGCATGTGGTTCTGTACCAACAGAACAATACAGACAACGGAACTTAATGTCACAACCATGAGTGAAAGTAAACCGGTATGGATAATCTGTGAAAAGACTGAGCTCTAAGACTTGAGGTCTTGGTCTCGACTTGGTCTCACTCTCTCTCGGTCTTGGTCTCGACTTGGTCTCGACTTGGTCTCGCTCTCTCTCGGTCTTGGTCTCGACTTGGTCTCGCTCTCTCTCGGTCTTGGTCTCGACTTGGTCTCGCTCTCTCTCGGTCTTGGTCTCGACTTGGTCTCAGACCCCAAAATACTTGGTTTTGTCTCGGTACACTCTGGTCTTGATTTGGTCTCAGGTTACATGGTCTTGACTACAACACTACTCTGGACATGTCCAAACCATCTCAGTCTGGTCTCTCTAACTTTATCTCCCAGTTGTTCAACCTGTGCTGTACCTCTGATGATCTCATTCCTAATCTTCTCCATCCTTGTCACTCCTAAGGAGAACCTTAAAATCTTCATTTGTGCCACTTCCAGTTCTTTCTTCTGTCTTTTTGTCCATGTCTCTGTCTCCAGACCATACAACATAGCTGGTCTCACCACTGTCTTGTAAACTTTTCCTTTGACCTTTTCTGACACCCTTTTGTCACAAATCACTCCTGAAACTTTTCTCCAAACACTCCATCCTGCCTGGACTCCCTTTTTCACTTCTTTACCATGTTACCCACTTTCCTGGTCAGTGGACCCAGAGTCCTTGAAGTCCTGCACCTTTGTGACCTCTGCACCTTGTAGCCTCACTGTTCCACCGGCCTCCCTCTCATTCACACATGTCCTCTTCTTTCAAGTGCATACTTCCACCTCTCCAAGTTCTATTCCACCTGCAGTTCTCACCGCAGATCACAACGTCATCTGCATCACTTAAGATTTTCATTAAGAAGTTAAAAATATGACATTACATTCGCTGATTTACATGCCATTCGTGTCACAAATTTCTGTAGTAATGAGGAGATAAAAAGTTTTTTCTATGATTTGGAGAACTGATAATTTTTCCTACAAATCTAGACCACTCACTGAATGAGATTTTTAAAAGACCCCGCAAAGGAAGTGCCTCTTAGAGTTTTTAAGTTGGTAGTGTTTTCACCAGGGGTGGAAGTAATGAATTACAAATACTCACATTGCTGTAATTAAGTAGATTTGTTTGGGTACTTCTACGTTTATGAGTATTTCTTTCAAAAGTGTAATTTTTCTCATACTTAAGTACAATTTAGACCATGTAATCTACTTCACTACTTTTAAAATCAGAAGTTGCTACCGAGTATGGCCTCAATTTGAATTAATATTCAAACCGTTTGTCTTTCTAAACAGGTCTCACTTGTAAATGAGTCTTTGAGGCTCAATGTGATTTATCTGTGTAAATAAAGGTTGAATGAAAAAAACGTTCATCTGCATCTTTGTAGCCAATAAGATCATGAATTAACTATGATGTAAGCAAAGGACAACTGTGTAGAGTAGAGAGTCATTTATGGACCGAAGATTTGGAGAAAAAACCAAAATGGAGACAGAGGACAACACCGTCAACAGAGAAAATGAAGTAAAGGCTGAGGACGAGTGCCCGTGGCCGTACCTGGAGGAATGTTTCATGTACACAGGGAGAAAAGGAGACAAGGACCAGATGCAAACTTTGTTTGATCTCTACAGTGATAGCAGCTCACAAGACTTCAGCATCTAATCTCAAAAAACATATTGCGGTATATGAGGTTTTACAGCTACCTGTATGATATTGCTGTTTTATTGTTTGTATGTGTGGGTTATTAATTTGGTTAAGTATGCAAAGATCTTAGATATTGTCACTGCCATCGGTTTGCCTGGTATTAAAATAAGACGGAGCTTCTGTCTGAGAAATGTGCTTTGAATGTAGCTGTTATTTACAGTAAATCAAACTGAATACCTTCTATTAACACAATAAAACATCAGTTGATTAAAAAGTAATTAATACACTGAGTAGTTTTTAAAAAGAGTACTTTGTACTTTTACTTAAGTATTTTTATAACACCAGCAAATTTACTTGTAATTGAGTACAATTTAGGCAGTGTAACAGTACTTGTAATTGAGTACACATTTTCAGTACTCTTTCCACCTCTGGTTTTCACACATCTAAAAAAAATAGTTGACATTTTTAATGATCTTCCTTCCAATAAATAAAAAGCTACATGAAACGACCACAGCATCTTCAGAAGTGACTGCGTTGCTCTAAAACGGCGTGCTTGTCTTTAGATTCTGTCATCCAGGGTCCCATTGCTGTGCCACACCTGGTTCCTTTGTTAATGGTGATGGAGGGTGAGGACCCTGTTGAGAACAGCGACCACGGCTGCCAGGTGCTCTACGATGTCCTCCAATCAGCTCGCAGCGCTGCCTTACACGCCCAAGATTACCAGCAGCATGCACACGCTCTGCTCACAGGTGCAAACAACTCACCTGCTTCATGTGATGTCATTGATTCAGTGGTACTACAAAGACATTTATTATATTTATTGTGTTGCTGGTGCATGTGGTGCATTTAACTGGCAGGAAGTATCGGTGAAATGACGTGTGTTGTACTGAATCAGTTCTGATTGTATGTCTGTCCCACTGATTCAGCAGAAAGCTGGGAGTCGATCCCTGAGCTGCTGGAGGCTGTCCGGACCGAGTTCGCCCTGCGGATGTTCTGGGGTCTGCACGGGGCGATTGCAGACAAAAAGGAGCGATACGAGAAGTTTGACAAGATCCTCTGCGTCCTGTCAAATAAACTGGAACCTGTGGCGAGCAGCCCACTAAAAGCAGACCCTCTAATCTGAGTCAGCAGGTGGAAAGACTGAAAGGAACTCTGCAGAGCGTCAGTGCGTTTAATAAAACATGAGGCCTCGGTTACAAAATGCGTCAGGATGATCAGATTTTCCTGTTTGTGTGAGATTGCATGTTATGTCTACTTAACATGTGAGAAATATTTAATCTGAAACATGTCTGCAGACCTTTTACTGTGAAAAGACAATTTTTTTTTACTTTTACAGGAAGTCTGAAACTGGTTACCCAGCAACTATATCTGTTTACAAAATATGGATTTCTAATTATCAGCCACCTGTCTGATACTTGAGATGTAAAATTCTGAGCAAAGTTTTAACCAAAGTCTCTATCACTGAATAGCTGTTGCACTATAAAAGCTTATATTTACGCTTGTTTTTTTTAATGAATAAGTCTTAAAAAAACACCGTTGACACACTTTGTCTTCACTTCATGACACAAGAAAGACGCTTTAAAAAAATTATACAATATTTTAAAGGAAAATTTAAAAAAATTCTGGTGTGAGTTCAAGAAACGATGAGTAAACCTTAATTTGGCTTAATCAAGAAAAAAATTAAGAAGAAAAATGTCTAAATATTCAAATTCCAACTTTTCTAAATTCAGGAGTTGGGTCTCCTGTAACATCCTGTAACCTGGTGCAGCTGATTTGTTTGACAGATTGAGCATCAAGGTTTCTAGTAACAAAACAGTTGTATTTTTATGAAATGGCCATTAAATCAAAGGATTTTGGAAGAATATTTAAACTGTCCACAAGCTCAAAATACAAAAGCAAAGAGCTTGGTCAGTGTGAGATCCAGTTTATTTATTATTTCTTCTTCAATTTATTTCTGGTTAAATTAAGTCTTTAAAATATATGTCCAGACTCGAAAAATGCTGCACGTTTCTATCCCAATTTATATAAATATTAAAAAGTTTCATTAAATGAAACATGAACCCACATTTAAGTAGATCCATCAGTTCGGAGTCACTCGTAAAGTTTATTATTAATTATTCCCTACAAATTAGCCCTAAACAAACCTGTTCATTGACATATATTTAAAAAAAAAAGCCTATTTAACTATCCAGTCATTCATCCAGATTGCAGGAACTACCGTACAAAGAGAAGCCAGTTTATTGTTGAACCTGAAACTGCCTCTAAAATGTTCCGACACATGAAAACTGAGTGTCTGGAGTTCACCAACAGAAAATGATCATTACCAAAGCCAGACCAGTGCAGACAAGGCTTTACTTTTCTGTACGATGTGGTGCTTTTTCTTTACTTTTGGCCACACTTTGTCTAAAAATGCACAAAATATAACAAGACAAATTTAATTTAAAATCTTTGTTGTAGAGTGGCTACAATAAATCGTAAAGACAAAACAAGAAATTCAGTTTTCTCACTAATATTGCCACTAAAACTGTGTTTTTCATTTTCATGTTGACTGGCCATCGTTCCTGATGTAGTTAAGGTTACAGCTGGCAAAACATGGCCTTTAATGTGTCAAACTACTCTAAAAGTAGTTTGAAGCTAACATGAAGTTTTATTTGGAAGAGTTAACGGCTTAAATCTGTTCTTTTTGAAACCCTTACAGTGTTTCCATCACGAGATGCAGAGGTGCATATAAAGCGACACACAAATGGGATTCTATGTTACAACCAATGAAATGCTTGAAAAAAAAAACTTTTAGTGGGCAACATGAACTTTTGATCAGAACCATCAAATTAATTCCTTCCAGTTTTAATAGACGTAAAGAAAGTCAACCCTGTTTTTATCATCACTGTTGACTGAGTGCCCTTTTTGTACACGACCAACAGCAGTGGTTTTATTCCAGTTGAAAGGATAAAAAAAAAAAACGTTTCAGGAAAGTGGTTTGAGAAGACAATTTGAGTAAAAAAGAAAAATTTTTTTTAGCAGATTATTAGAATTAGCAAGGAAGGATGTGCTGTAAATTAGTCATGGCATAAACACCCATACGCTGCTACAATGCTGACGAGTCTTTTTTTTTGTCCACACAGACACAGAAAGTTAATATATACAATTAAAACAGTCCTTTTGTGATAAAAAAAAGCTAAATTTGATAAATAGCAAACTGTTCTTGCCCTTTTAAACAGCATCTGATGCAACAGAGAGCCGAGAAGGGCTTTGAGAGATACTGTAATCGGTCTTTGTAATCACTCACATTCATCTCACCATATCCACCTTTAGCTGAGATAAAAGCTGTAAAGAACAGCTACAATTATCTGGAATGACACTGCATTCACCTCCAGCTCTTAAACTTCCTGAATGAGCTATGTAAGTTGAGATGCGAGCTGAGCATAAGATGAAGGTATATATCCCTCCTCTCCAGTGGCTTTGAGGACTCTCATCCATCCATCTCCCTTATCCTCCTCCATTACAGTCAACAGCTCTCCTTCCTTAATGGAAATGGTACCTTCACTGTTGCCTGCACATAAAAAAATGCATGAGAAATAGACATACGTGGAGCTAAAAGCAGATTTATTTATGAACAAGTTCAGAGTGAATTTTAAACATACCTTCAAAGGTGTAGAGTGCGGTGCACTGGCCAATGGGAATTTCAATATCTTCAAATTCATCAAACTCTGAGTATATATTCTGAGATGGATCGGTTGTTGTCACAGGGCTGAATAAACACAAATCAAGATTCCCTCAGTTTAGTTCTGCTCATCAAACTACAGTAATCTGATAACTTAACGTGATATGTTGAAATCTTGAACTTGAGCTCATGTCCCATGAACTTTTTACGTTGACACCTTACAACCAAAAACTGGAATTTTATGTGTCAGACCAACACAAAGTAAAATTGTAAAGCAAAAGGAAACATAAACATTTTCAAAACTTTTTAATAATAAATTTTGAAAAGTGTGGCATGTATTTACATTTGTATATTCAGCCCCTCTAAAAGCCCAAACTAAAATCTAGAGCAACTAAATGCCTTCTGAAGTCACATAATATATATATATATATATATATAAATAAAAGTCGGGTCACGGGGGCAGCAGCTTGAGCAGGGAGGCCCAGATGTATCTTTCCACAGCCACCTCTTCCAGCAATGGGCAGCCCTGGCGGAGTCCAACTCCCACCCTGGAGGGGTCTGACTTACTACTGGCAATGTGAACCAAACTCTCAAACTGCTTGTATAGGGACAGAACAGCCTGTAGCAATGGGGCCCTAATCCCATACTAACAGAGCACCCACCACAATGTACCCCAAGGAACACGGTCAAGTGTCTTCTCCAAGTCCACAAACCACATGTAGACTGGATGGGCAAACTCCCATGAGCCCTCGAGGACCCTAGTGAGAGTAAAGAGCTGATCCAGTGTTTCAGGACCAGGACGGAACCCACATTGTTCCTCCTGGATCTGAGGTTCAACCAACGATCTGACTAACTTCTCCAGTATCCCTGAAAATACATTACCAGGGAGGCTAAGGAGAGTGACACCCCTATACTTGGAGCACATACTCTAGTCCCTCTTTTTGAAGAGAGGAACTACCAGCCCAGTTTGTCAATCCAGTGGCACTGCCCCCAGTGTCCATGCATTGTTGCAAAGTCGTGTCAACCAAGACAGCACCACAACATCCAGAGCCTTAAGGAAATCAGGCTGAATCTCATCCACCCCCAAAGCCCTGCTGTTGCAGAGATTTTTAACTACCTCTGCAACCTCAGCCACAGTTAAGGACAGACCAACCCTGATGTCCCCCGACTCAGCTTCTGCCATGGAAGACATGCTGGTGGTATTGAGAAAGTCTGAGAAGTATGCCTTCCACCTCCTAATGACATCACTAGTTGAGGTCAACAGCACTCCACCTTCATTAAACACAGTGTTAGTAAAGAGCTACTTTCCCCTTCTTTTCCGCCTGATAGTTTGCCAGAATCTCTTTGGAGCTGACCGAGAGTCTCTATCCAAGGCCTCACCAAACTATTCCCACATCCAAGCTTTTACCTCAGCAACAGCCAAGGCTGCAGACTGCTTAGCTTTCCGGTACTTCTCAGCTGCCTCTGGAGTCACACCAAACAACAAGGACTGATAGGACTCCTTCTTTAGCTTGACAGCCTCCCTAACCCGGGCTGTCCACCACAGAGTTCGTGGATGGCCATTGTGAGACACATCAACAACCTTGCGGCCACAGCTCAAGGCAGCCACTTTAACAATTGGGCACAGGGCCCACTCAGATTCAATGACCCACGCCTCAGCTGGGATGCAGTTAAAGCTCTCCTGGAGGTGTGAGTTGAAGATCTTTCTGACGGGTTTCTCTGCCAGGTGTTCCCAGCAAACCCTCACTACATGTTTGGGTCCACCAGGTCTGTCCAGCGTCTTCTCCTGCCATCTGACCCAATTTACTACCAGATGGTGATCAGTTGACAGCTCAGCTACTCTCTTCACCTGTGTGTCCAAAAGAAATGGCCGCAAATCAGATGACCCGACTACAAAGTCAATCATCGATCTACAACCTAGGGTTTTCTGGTGCCAAGTGCAATTATGGACACCCTTAAGTTCAAACATGATGTTCGTGATGGACAAAATATGACTAGCACAGAAGTCTAACAACAGAACACTGCTCAAGCTCAGGTTGAAGTCCCCCAGCAGAATAAAGGAGTCCCCAGCTGGTGCACCTTCCAGCACCCCCGCCAAGGACTCCAAGAAGGCCGGATACTCTGAACTACTGTTTGGCACGTATGCACAAACAACAGTCAGAGCTCCCCACCTGAAGGCGCACGGAAGCCACCCTCTCATCTACCGGAGAAAACTCAACACACAGGCACCAAGTCAGAGGGTTAAGATTAGATCTACACCAGCTCGGCACCTCTCATCATGGACAACTCCAGAGTGGAATAAAGTCAAGCCCCTCTCAAGGAGATTGGTTCCAGAGCCCATGCCATGCGTAGTCGGTACCTCTCAACCTCGCACACAAGTTCAGGCCTCTTCCCCACCAGTGAGGTCACATCCCATGTCCCAAGAGTCAGCTTTAGTAAACCAGGGTCAGAGCGCCAATGCCCCTGCCTTTGGAGTCATGCACCTGACTCATATGGCCCCTCCTGCAGGTTGTGGGCCCACAGGAAGGCAAACCCATGCTACTCATTCAGGCTGAGTCCGACCGGGCCCCATGGGTAGAGACCCGTCACCAGGTGCTCGCCGACGATCCCCTCCCCCAGGCCTGGCTCCAGGGTCGGGCCCCAGTAATCCATGTTTGGGCAAGGGACGCTGAACTTCTTGTTTTTTACTGTCCATAAGGAACCTTTCTTACACGGAGATGCAGCCATACAACAAAAAGAAAGTTGGCCATCGCTTCTTTTTTTCAAGTTATCCAGCTCACGGATGGACAGACTGATGAACAGAGTGTATTTCCAATTCCCTCTCTTTTCTTTGCAACAGGGGACAAAAATCATCAATGTGGTATTTAAATAAAGTTGCGAGCAGAAATTATTGGTCCAAACAGACATATGTTGCAATGTTGCTGCTGTAACTTGGTCCATTCAAAACGTTACCTTTTCAGTGCATTAGCCAGTTGCTTTGCATAATTTTTGTATTCACAACACAAATAAAGTTAGGTCCAATCTTGTCATAAATCTTCCAAAATGTTGGATTATTCCTTTAAAAACAGGTCTTACCCATGTTGAGTGTTGTTATTGATGGGGATGCAATATTCATCTCCTCCTCCTGCTGCTTCAGATAACCACGTCTGTTATGAGTCAGAAAGTTAAAATAATTTTTATAATCCAGAATATCACACAGTATTTGTGTACATGTGTATGCACAGTATGCATTATAACCTCATATTTAACAAGCTCCCCCTTTAGCTGGCCTATTTTGTAGGACGTTTCTGTGATTCGGGGCTCCAGGCTGGAAGGGTCTCCCATCTGGGAATTCTTCTCATACACACCCTTCATCTTCTCCAGCGCTTCACTGAGGTCAAACAGATGCAGAAAAGGAGTTAAAAGTGTTCACATAATGTGCTCATTAAGAGGGTTTCACTCTTGTGTTGGACTTCTGCGACAGGAAGATCTGGTTTGTAGAGATTATCTTGGTTACAATAAAATAAAATAATGAAAAAAAAAACGGGTGCAATTTTCGTGGATGTTGCACCAGACTTAGTTAAAGAACAACATATGCACAATTGTCTTAGTTGCTGGTTACCAAAGCATCTCTGATATGTAATAACGTCTGCACCTTTGGTCTTGCTCCTTCTGCAACTCTTTGTTGATATGCTCAATCTTACTCAGCAACTTCTTCTTCCTCTGTTCTGGAGGCAGGTGCGAGAAATCAGGTTCTGCAGCGGGTTGCTACAAAAACACACGAACAATGCAGAAAACATGGACATGAGCACAGAGTACTACTGTAAGTGTGACCTTAAACATAAATAAATAAATCAATGTTCATTTGTCACTGTTCTCAGAGTTTCTCCTCACTGACAGCTTATGCTGCTGTACGGCTTCACTACAATCAGCCCAGAGGGAAAACAACTGAATGAGGATTTGTTGCATTTTGAATGAATAAAATAGATTAAACCAACAAAAAATACTCTGTTACTTGTGATGAAATAAATATACATTTTAAAATAAATACATCGACTGAGCTACAGCCATGTGTTGTTGATAAGCTGTGGCTGCCATTTCAGTTTTAATCGACTCCAAAAATTAATCAGTTGTAGAATGTACATCTAACGAGAGTATAATGAGATTTATGAAAATTTGTTCAGCAGTTTATGAAATGTTTTGCTAACAGGGTTGACTACAAATGTTACCGCTACACATTTAGAGCAGCCACATGTTGTAAAAGGCTCTCAGCTACGAACACACACAGTTTTAGCACAATCTTTGCAAAGCTGACTGAGTTATAGACGTTTTTGTGGTTTGTTTTAAGGTGAGTTGGCTGTTGTGGCCATCTTGAATTGGGTTGGCTCTAAAAGTAAATCCGTTCTAGACATGCATCTAGCACCTAATTTCAGCACGCATATGCCTTTTTTTGAAACTCCTACTAAAATCTGCCCATGGCTCATAACATATTTGGGTAACAGATTGATATATTTGACTTTATATACAATGTTTTAGTTAAAGGCTCAATACTGACAAAAGATTTTGTACCGTCTGTCTAATCTCAGAATATGTGTAAGGGATCAGTGTCGGCTACCACTAGACACAATTTTAGCTCAATATCTGTAAAATAGACAGAGCTGCAGTTATTTGTTGTGTTTTATAGGAAAGTTCGCCTTGACAGCCATCTTGAATTGGATCGATTTCCAAAATTAATCATAGCAAAATGTACATCCAGTGATATTTTCTGCAAGTAAATTTTTTTGTCTACTGATTCATGAGATATTTTGCTAACACACAGATAAACAGACACAAACACAGGCAAAAAAAAAAAAAAAAAAAGGAATCTAACTCCGCCTTTCAATGGCAGGTGATTCATCAAGACCATTTAGTAAAATTTAAAAAAGCCTGTCTCCTTGGGAAAAAAGAATAAAAAATAGATGATTTAAATCTTTTCTTTGCTTTTGCCACCAGGTGTCCATTCAGAGCATGTAGTGTACTCATCAAATCATATTTTCCTCTAAAGATAATCCTACATCAGCTCTTTTACATTTATTCTTTATTTAAAATTAAATATTGTCATGTGATTTTGAGCGATCCAACAAATTATTTATCATTTATTTATTTATTTATCATATTTATCAGACATATAAACTGGGGTGAGACAAACTCAGCCAGTGTGAAAGGATTTCACAGATTTTTAAAAACAGGCCCAGCAGTTGATGTGACGATGCAGCAGTAGAGTGAAAATGATAAAATATAACCGCAAGATGGAAATAAAAACTGAAAATGATCAAATATAACCGCAAGATGGAAATAAAAACTCAGGCTGGACCTCAGACACAAAGTAATACCAGTCAGAGTGCAAAAATCTTTTGTGTTGAGTTGAAAACTTTGATTTTGACAGCTCGATTTCACTGATGACAAGGAAAACAGACAAAGTGGAGGAAAAGGGAGACAACAACTCTGGTGATGAACGAAAAGAAAAGAAAACAGAAAAGACATGGGGATCAGAGATGCAGAGATTTCAGTAACAATGCAGATTAATAGGTTAAAGAGCCCCAAAGGTGTTCTGGGACATGTCTGAGCAGCAGACTGGAATTAGAATTTGGCCTGAAGGGAAGCAGGTTGGTGAAGATATGAGTCGTGCTGAGAAATGTGTGTGTGTGTGTGTGCACGCTTATGTTAAAGCAATATTATGAGACAATGTGTGTGTTAATTCACATTCTTACAGAGATCAGCAGCAGAAAGATAAGAAAGAAAACAGACTGTTATCAATAATTTGATGTGTGACTTTCATAATTTTATTTTAAGTGGCTGCCGGGGCAACCAAAATCTCAAACCATTAAAAAAAAGGCTTAATTGACAGTCAGGAGTAAAATGACCAGTGGTGGGATGTAACTAAGTACAAATACTTCATTACTGTACTTAAGTACATTTTTCATGTATCTGTACGTTACTTAAGTAGAGTTAAATGTGGGTACTTTATACTTTTACTTCACTACATTTTACATCAAGTATCTACTTTCTACTACACTACATTTCTAAAATGTGTTGCGTTACAAGTTACAATCATGTTGTGGCTTTTTGATTTGTTTGTTACTTTGAAAGTAACCTATGGTGAGAGGTGAGTAGGTCCAGTGAATCACTGCAAAGTGAGCAGGTAACGTTAGACCCGCCTTCAAGCAGAGCTGGACCAATGACATATATTCTAGTATATATGTCACTGAGCTGGGTGCACCTGCAGCACCACTAACACCCAAAATGTATTCCACCGCAAGAGAGTCAGCCAGAAGGTATGCTCCACCCATGTCCTTATTGAAAGACTGTTCAGCACAACATTACAGATTCTCTCTCCCAAAAGAGCCAGATTGGACTAAAAAATATTTGAAAACCAACTTCTTCTGAACTTGAACAAGAAATTCTTGCTGCAATATTAAAATGTGTCAAGTTCATGTATGTTAGGAGACAAGAGATGTCTCCAAATGGCTCGACACTCGGGTCCAAGTTTTAAAAATGGTGTCAGGAAGTTAAAATATTGTTCAATATTGACCCATTACAAGGTTGAATAGACAGTATTTTCACTGGAGTTGATGACAAACTGGAGTTGAAACATCAGTTGAAATGATCAGAGCCTGTTCCTTTGTTAGTTGTGTCTAATGCTCCTTTTGTTCAGGCAGACAACTTTTACTTAAATGTGTTTACTGCAGTTAAAATGACACATTGGTTTTACTTTGAGTTAAATAAAAACTTTCAAAGGTATAATCATTCCTCTTATTTTGCTTAATGACATTTAACTCATCCCTGAAACTCTGACGCACAGAATCACAAGTCCAAGTTGAACTGTGTCACAGAGTAAACACAATAAAAACATGTATTATCTGCAGCATCGTTCATTAAAATGGAACAACACTATTAATGTATTACAGAAAATATACATACAGTAGGTACACTTAATGATATGTAGACCATTGCATTAGGTAATACATTCAGCAAGTACTTTTACTTTTAATACTTTAAGTATTTTAAAAGCAAGTACTTATTTACTTTTACTTAAGTAAAAATGTTAATGTGGTACTTCTACTTTTACTAGAGTACATTTTTGTCTGTTTATTTGTACTTTTACTTAAGTACAGTGTTTGAGTACTTTCTCCACCACTGAAAATGACTAATTATTTCTTGCTCTCTCGAAAGATGCAAAGTTGGGAATCTCCTGATGCATGCTCAATAATCCAGGTAGAAAAATCCAAAAAAGTTCAATCTGGTCCTCTGGACATTCAAAAAAAAAACCAAAACAAAACAAAGCAAAAAAATAAATAAATAAATCTAGAAACGTTTCGTCTCTCATCCAAGAGACTTCCTCAGTCTGAGGTGCTGTATTCAGCTCAGTCTCTTAAATAGCACCTTCTCAGAGTGGATCAACCAGTTTTGCTGCTGACAACCAAAACCAGCTGATCACATGCTCAAGAAGGACCATCAGCATAACAATGGATCATTAGCACACTGATGGCTGTTTACTGTTCACAGAGGGCTGAGTGATACTAGCAATCACAGCATTGTAAGAGGGG